GCATGTCCTTCTGGTGCCTCCTGGACATCGTGCCCATCAAAAATGAGAAGCGGGAAGTGGTCTTGTATCTGGCTTCCCACAAGGACGTCACAAATTCGAAAATGGAAGAGTTTACCCTCTACAATGGCTACGAAAACGGTAAGTTTGTTTTGTTTTTGTTTTTTGTTGTTTTTTGAGAGTGCGTATATATTATTATTATTATTATTATTATTATTATTATTATTATTATTAGGTGAAGGAATGATAGGTAGGTTGAATACGTTGTCAATGCTTGTTAATTTGCGTTAAAAAGCTGTAATATTGTATACATGTATGTGCGTATTCTTATATACATTTTTTTTTTCACTCAGTCTATAAAATGTCCAAACTTCTCGGTTTTCTTTATTTTTACAACGTTAAGACTTTTATCTGTGAGTTGCGAAAGTGTTGCAATTATTGTTGTTGTTTTTTTCTTTTCTTTTTCTTCCTTAGAACTCATGGGGCCTTGTGAAATGTGAAGGAATTTTGTTCTTATTGTCCGCATTTGGTTCCTCAGGTTGCATTTTCTTCTCTTTTTTTAATGATAATTCATCTATTTATCAACACATTCATACATACGAACATATTTACGTACACATGAGCGTGATGACACCGCACACACACGCGGATAAATATACAAAAGCATTTTTTCTTGATAAAAGTAAAAAGAAAAAAAAATCTTTCAAATTGCAAAAACACATGTATATTTTTTGACGGTCTTTAAAATTCACAGTGGAATTTAAAATCGCGGAGAACATTAAGAATTAATAAGAATTAAAAAAAACATTAAACACACCATGAATAAGGTAAGGGAAAAAAAAGATTATACACTGTTATTAAATGATGTTGTATTGAGATATTTACTAAAGGCGTTGAGTAGTATTAACATATTATCACCTTGATTTCAATACCTAAAAAAAAAAAAATCTAAATATTAATTAAAGTGTTCCATGTGCACTTTACATCCGCTTGATTTATTATTCATTTGTTTTTATTTATTTATCTATATATATATATTTTTTTTTTTTCGTGTTGCATCAGTCCAATCTGTTAGTTTGAAAAAAATAACCTCAACGGAATTAAGAATCAGCGTTTTTTTGTATTTTTTTTAAAGAAATCTAAACAAATAATGGCTTCCTTTGCTTGTATGTTTATTTGTTTGTTTTATATAAATTCTAATTAGCATCTCAAATAACGTATCTCATGACCAGGTAAACACACTAACTCACATTTCAAAACAATTTATAATATATATATCCATGCTCTTTCCCCAGAATTATATCCTATTTATCTTTAATCACATAATATTTATATATTCATTCTAAGAACACAAACATAATCTCAACACCAATAAAATTATTTTACGACAAGACACGTCATCGTAACAGCCGCCATGTTGTCCCCAACGTAACGACCAATAGACCAAGTGATGGTTTTCTAACGTGGTCGTTTCAGCGGTGTGACGTGATCCTTGGTGTTGGGTGAGTCGTAACGTACGCTTTTGTACGTGTATTTGCTATATAAAAGCGTACAAAAATATTAAGTACAGTAGGTTTTACGTACGAAAATAAGTATGTTCAATAGGTATTACGTACGAAAAATATGTTATGTACAGTAGAGATTACGTACCAAAATATGTATGTACAATGGAGATTACGTACGAAAAATATGTTCGTACAGAGGGGAGTGCGTACAAAAAAAAATGTATGTACAAAAAGTAGTCCGTTCAAAAAGTTTGTCTGTACAAAAGCGTACAAGAGGGATAGTAAATGTATATGTAATTATTGCACACATGGCGAAGGGATACATGTTGCACACATACGAAAGAGGATGTGATATATGCATATACTTTTTTTTCTTAAACGTGATCCAGATGTGAATAAAATTAATCGCGCGTAAACATATACATAGAAATACATGTATACATATGGACTGACTGAAATACACACATACACAAGAACGCAGGGAAATTCGTGTACACATTTGTATAGGTGGAAAACGTACATGTATACGAATAGAAAGAGGTACGTGTACACATCAGCAGAAGAAAATACACCCGTACAGTCTTGCAGGTAGAAATATATGTAGGTATATGTGTATTAGGTGGTATAAAAAAAAATGTAGACAAGCATAAGTGTAAAGGTGAAAATAGCTGCAGATAAATACGAACACAAACATGACACGAAAATATACATAGATATATACAAACCATCATTTTTTTTTTTCTCTCAAAAATTAGTCTCTAATCAATCTCACTGCTACACATATTTACAAAAATAAATGAATAAATAAAAATCAAGAAGAAAAAGAAGCAAAAAAAAAAAACGGACAGGAAAATTTTTCACTCATCCGATTTCCCTTTGACTCCGACTTCCACCCATCTTGCAGACGAGAACGAGAACCTGGACCCGGAAGCGCCACCTGCCAACTACGGCCGAAGACGGAGCCGCGCCGTCCTCTACCAGCTATCCGGACACTACAA